CTTTATAAACTCGTGGGTCAAGAACAAAGGATTCAAAAACTCCGAATTTGAGGTCAATTAGAGAAATTTCGATTAGAGAGAAAACTTACTCAGCGAGATCACCGAGTTGACGCAAAATGCCAACGAGACCAGCCATGGCGACTCCTTCAAGCAGAGCTTCAGGGTCATCTTTATCAGCAGCTTGGTATAGATCCGGATCTGCTAATCCATACTCGTTACGAGATTGATACCTCGTCAAAGGCATTGTTTGAGCTTCTCTGTCTGATCAGCTCGCTAATACTTTTGTTGAAATTGAAAGGAGAGAACTTTACAAAAGAAGAAAGACTAGAAAAGCTTCTCTGTCTTCATTGAAGTAGTGACCGACCACATTAGATATGTGACGACATCACTAGCTGGAAACTAAAACGGACTTTCTGTGGATTCAAGACGGCGGATATAGGTAGGGGTAAAGAGAGAGAGAGAGTCTGAGAACCTCAACGCTAAAAGACTTTTTAAGAAAATTGCCTAAAAAAACAATTTTTTTTTTTTCCATGCCTAAAATACTTAAAAATTGTTACTTTTAATGAAAAATTAGATTTTTATGAAAATTCTTATCAAACCAAAACCTTGTTGGCTTGTTGCAATAAAACCTGCATTTAAGACCAACCCCTCGGGAACCTGATTTTTCAGGCTTTAGTTTGTCCATTGTCCAATTGTGATCCCTATCGAAACCAAACCCAAAACCGATGAGTTAATTGGAAGATTAAAAAGGGAGCGAAGAGTCTCTTTCAGTCTCACTGTTACTTCTCTCTGCAGGAACATCATAAGACGTTGAGTTCGACTACAGGTATGATTCGAATTCTCTCTTCTCACCTAAAAGCTTCTGTCTTTATATTCTTCTTAGCTCGTAGTAAAGCTAATTCCTCTTTGAAGTCCAAGTTTAAGTTTTTTTTTTTTCTTTTCTTGAAATCGTATTTGGTTGGTGTTGTGAGTTTCAGGTTTAGAGACATGTCTTATATTCCACCACATAAGAGGCATTCGAAGGATCCAGCCAAACCTTCCCCTGTTCCAGATTCTCTTGTTACAAAATTCAAGAAAAACCTCGACTTTAATAGTAGCAGTGATAAACGCAACAAGATTATCTATTCAGGAGATTCCATTTCCAAATGGTTTCTTGTTGGTTCAAATGGAATCGAGGATGAGTTTCCTTCGTTTGTTAAGTTTGTGCCCTTGTCCTCTGATTCTGTCGAGTGCAGAAAAGGAGAAAAGCCTTCAATACTGATGAACAACAATGTCCAAAATGGTAAGAAACTATTAATAGACTTTGGCTATGTGTTTTGACAAAATGAATATCATCTAGGTGTAGCAACACTATTAACTATTTTGTTAGTGCTATGAACGTTTTTGCCAAAAGAAGATGCATTGTGTTTTTTTTAGTGTGGTTTTTTATATGTTTAGATTTAGTGAATATGAATATTGGAGGGAGCAAAGATGAGAGAACTCAGTGGCTATTAGTGGCTGAGAAGGTTGTGGAGGATCTTGTGTTGGCTTATGAGCGAGCTAAGACTGAAATGGAGGAGCATCATCATGTATTGAGATTGGTTGCTCGGTCTGGTAAAATCTTCTTCTATGGGTAAGCGGTTCAGCGTCTGATCTTACATTTTTTTGTTTTTAAATTTATGAAGTCTTATTTTCTTTCTAACATATACAACTTAAAACCAGGAGTCAAGCTGGTCCTGTGGCTGAATGTTCACTAAAAAACTTGAATAAGATGTTCTCTACGGATGTCCCAGTGTCTTGCTTACAACACATCAAATCTAAGGTTGTACCAAGCCATGGATTCTCTATTGATGTGGAAAAGGAAACATACACTGTGAAGGTACTTGTTTCGTTTTCGTAGACGTATACTTCAGATGTCATTTTGAATATGCTTATTTGTGTCTGGCTTTATAGGTATCGCATTATACTCGTCCCAATGCAACCATCAACTGTAAATGTACCCGTAAGGAAGATGGACGGCTCAGTATGTACAAGGCAAGTCTCGAATTTTATGTCTGAAATGACTAGAACCAATAGTAACATGAAGTCTCTTCTTTATAGCAATAACAACAAACCGATACAAGAATCAAATATTGTTCCGACTTCTGAGAACCTATGATTCATCTCATCATTGATATTAACTTGTTGTTACATGCCACATTTTTACTTGGTTTTTCTTTTAAAATCTTATATTGAAGCTTGAGTTTTGCTTTTGTAGGCTGAGCTTAATCCTGTAAGGCATATGGTTGTTGATGTGTCATGCATCGATAAGAATCTTGACATGAGACTGATGCTCGCTGCCAAAAGGAAGATGACGTCTCTCACTGTGAGTTGAACTGGATCTATGCATATGCACATTTTTTTCTGGATAGAATATAGAATATTCCTCTCTTGGACTTAGGTTGGGTGATCTTTCTATGATGAGCAGGATAAAGAGATAAGCAACATTAAAGCGCTATTGGATTCAGCAACTGTTGATCCAAATGTAAAAGGCGGTTTAAGGTGGCCATTAGGTAAAGCTTCATCTGAAGATGGATACAGAGTATTTGAAGCTTGTCACGTTAGAGCTACTATCTACAAAAATCAAACTCTAAGGCTTAGGGTAAGAGAGACTGATAGATTCAATGAGAGAATTGGAACAGGGGAAATCAAGAGGGAGGTGACTCTGATACTTAAAGACCTAAACTCTAAGTTACAGGTAAGTTATTGTGCTCTTGTGTTTTACAAACTCTATTGGAAGTGCGAGGCTTATTGTGATTACACTTGCGGTCTGCAGGAGCAGAACACTGAGAGGGGTGATGTTTTGGAGATGCTACGAGATACTCTTGGAACTATATGGGACTTCTTGCATTGCGATGCATATATTATGTGATGAAGAACAATATGATGTTTGCTCGTTCTATCGGGTTTCTTTTTTTCTTTCTGCTGTGTTTTGGTACAATAATGTTTAAGGTTGTAAAGGAATGATGTTTAAGGTTGTGAAGGAATGAACTTATGTGTGACAAAAAAACACAGAAGTTGATTTCTTGTTACCAGTCATTTCATGTATGTGAACTTGGTGTATTATGGACTCATTGCATACTGAAATTTCCTTTTAGTTAAAAGGTTAAATCGTAATCTAAGCAGTACAATTACGCTGAAAGATTTCCAATTATCACAGTCAAGTTTGATGGATGCGACAACTTTGTACAGTATACATTAAGGTTAAAGGTAAGTTTCAGAGATAGCAGTGGAAAAACTGATGCAATTAATATTGAACAAACAGAACAAAGGTAGTTTAAATACTTGATATAAATACATTGGTAAGATTTATCTTCTGCTTTGGATATGTAGTTCTAACTATCATTAATAAGACCAAACACATCAATTTTACAACTTTTAGAGTTGCTCCACATTGCTTAAACCAGGTGTGCTAAAAGTTCGACTGCTTTATCCATCAAACCTTTCTCACATAACCTGCTAATGACTTCCTCAATTTTTGAACTCTTAACAAACAAGTTCATGTTAAATGCTTCTTCCAATAAACCTTGAGCACAAACAACCTCATCTACCTCTATATATGCACTAATCATAATATCATATGTGTGGCTGTTCCGGTTAACTCCATTCATCTCCATCTCTTTCCATAGAGTCTTAGCTCGACTCAGATCTCCAGCTTTAACCAATCCTTTTATCACTATATTGTATGTAACTACATTAGGCTCAGAACCTAGCTTGTTCATTGAAGACATCATCTTTATAGCACCTTCGATATCGTTCTGCTTGCATAACCCATTGATATACACATTATAGGTATAAACATCAGGATCCAAACCTAACAAGAGCAACTCATCAAACAACTTGTCTGCTTTCGGGTAATCCTCATCCGCAATAACGCCTAGCAACACAATAGTATAACAAACAACATCGGGATCTATTCTATCACATTTCATCTGATTCAGTACACTTACAACTTCTTTTCCCCTTCCTCCTTCCACCAAGAACCTCATCACAACTGTATAATCCCGCAAACCTGGCAAAAACCGAGTCTTTCGCAGATCTTCCAAATATCCAATTACATCGAAACATGAAGAATCCTTGTGTTTACAAACAGAACTCAACAACAGAGAGTATAATCTTGGATCAACAATAACACTATCCTCACTCATGTATCTCACTAACTCAGTAGCACAATCAACCTCACCGATTCTACAAAGAGCATTGATCAATATCCCGAAAGTAGATTCCTCTAACCTAACACCCATTCTACTAGCTTTCACCAAAATCTCAGGCACCAATTCAAGACTCTGTCTTTTTCTCACAAGAACTAAGAGCAAAGCATTGAGCGTGTAAGCAGAAGGCACGCACCTGAAATTAGGGATTTTGAAGAAAACATCAATAGCCTCTTCAATTCTACCGGAGAAGCCATAAGCAGCGATGACATCCCTGAAAATGGATTCAGGTGTGTCGAACTTCTCAGAGACTTCAAGGTGGTCAAGAACAGATGCAATGTTCTCAAGCTGAGAGGTTTTAGCTAGGGTTTCGATAACGAATCTGTAAGCTTGAGGAGTGGGCTCGCAGTTATGTAGTTGGAAAGAGCTTACGAGGGTTCGCATAACAGAACCATTCTCTGAATCTGCGAGAAGATTGCTTCTTAGCTCTTCCATGGCGTATTTTTGCTTGAGATTCTCATTCCATTTGGTTTTGAAAGATGACTGAGGAATTTTTCGATACTTTCTCATGAAATTTGACATTCGGTGCCATGATGAAGATCTTGCCATTTCATCAATTCGACGGAGACTGTAAAACTGGAAGACATGTCATATAGATTAGCTTCAGGATCTTGTCCGTATATAACATCATTAAAAGCCCAAATAGATTCAAAAGCCCACTATTGGCCCAGCTTCATTTAGGGTTTTCTGATCTTTAAATAAATTGTAATGTGTATACACTTTCCCTTCACCGCAAGAAATCAGAAGAATAGGAAAAAAAAAAAAAAAGTTTTGAGGGTTAAACAATGACGACGATGATCTACGATCTTCCAAGGGATTTGATAGAGGAGATTTTTTCTAGGCTACCCTTGAAATCTATGAAAGCAGTGAGGTTAACATGCAAAAGTTGGAACAATTTATTCAAAAGTAAAGTAACAACACCAACAAGAGAAGGGGAGACTATGATGATCTTCAGGATGATGCCTGACAGTTTTTGTTTAATGAGCGGCATCGTCGATGTTGATCCATCTATAGAGCGTAAAGGTCAACTTAGTTTCCTTTACAAAGTCAGTGTATCTAGAATTTACCACTATGAGGGTTTAATTTTATGCAAATTGAAAGACGTTAATAGGGTTATGGTTTGGAATCCCTATTTGGGGCAAACAAGGTGGATCAACCTCAGGTATTCTCACCTCATAAACGGATTCAACAGGTACAGTTATGCTCTCGGATACGAGGATAAGGAATCTTGCCGTAGCGTTAAATTGTTGAGGTTTTTAGATTATTTCTTCCATGCACCCGAAACACAATTTTTTTGGTATGAAATCTACGATTTTGATTCTGGTTTATGGAAAACCCTTGATGTCACTCCAAACTGGGGTATATATTGTTCAAGCCCTAGCGTTTCTCTTAAGGGTAACACTTACTGGTGTGCTAGTAAAAGGAGCTCAGAAGGTTGTATGGATCATATAATATGTTTTGATTTTACAAAAGAGAGGTTTGGGCCGCTTCTACCTCTGCCGTCTAGCGTTAGGGATCGTAAATCTATATATGCGACTTTATCTTGTGTTAAAGAAGAGAAGCTTGCAGCTTTATTCCAGCGCCCTGAATCATACGAACTTTATTTTGAGATATGGATTACGACTAAGATTGAGGCCGAAATGGTGTCGTGGAGCAAGTTCTTGAGAATGGATACGGGACCTAAGGTAAATGTTCCAGGTAGTTTCTTGATTGACGAGGAGAAGAAAGTCTTCATGGGTTTTTGTACAGACTATAACTCCGACTATGACGACTGTCCCAAAAAATTTATTAACATCATTGGAGAGGCTGGATACTTAAAGAAATTGGATCTCGGAGTACCTGCATACCAAAACCATTGGCTAGATGTGTGCTCTTATGTTCCAAGTTTGGTCCAGATCAAGAAACTTGCACGAGGCAAAAGGATAAAACAACGCAGTTTAGAAAAGCATCGATTTGATCAGAACAGGTTGAGACTTGCTGCAGTTGATGAAAAGATAAAGAATAATCGATATAGATTTTTTAGGAGAATTTAGATTGGTTGCTAAGTTACAGGTATCTTAAGCGTTCTTGTATCTTAGATACTTTATTGGAAGTGAGGCTTATGGTGATTATACTTGTGATCTGCAGGAGCAGAACACTGAGAGGAGTCGAGTTTTGGAAACGCTTTGAGGTGCTCTTGGAACCATATGGGAATGCTTGCATTGTGATGCCTATCTTACGTACGTGATAAAGAACCATATGTTGTTGGTGCTGTTGGGTTTCTCTTTTACTCTCTATTGTGTTTTTGTACGACAATGTGTTTTTTTTGGATGCGAGCTAAGAGAAGATCTTATGGTCTTGTAAATCTGAGATAAAGAATTTTGGACATTTTGATACTCTTTATAGAGGGCTTTGCATATCCAACGTTTTTGGGAGGGTCTTTGCTACTTTTACAAAGTTTTTACTCATGTTTGAACAGTTTTACTCCTTTTTTTTTTGTCGAATATTACATCTATTTACCGTTTTTCACAATTGAGACCAATTGATAGACTGACACGCTATCATGAGTCGCATCCTATGTGAAGCTTGAGCATAGATATCCCAAGTTAGTCATAAGTAAAACCTTATGGATAGTCTGTTTTAACCACAATTGCAGAAAAAAATAATTATTTGAATATATATGCATGCGACTGCGAGGGCATTCATTTTATTGTTTAGAAGAAACCAAACACAATATAACTAAAGAGTCTCTTGGGGTTCATTGTTACTTTTCTGCAGTAGTTGCGTGGGACGAAAGGTAAGTTTCACCATCTCTCTTCTCACTTTAAAATCTACTAAATTGAATTCTCCTTGCTTACTAAGCATTTCCACTCCGAGCTCCAAGTTCAAGCATATATATATATTTTGAGAGGTTCAGGTTCATACATGTCTTATATTCCTCCATATAAGCGACTAGATCTTCCCCTGTTCCAGAAACTCTTCTTACAAAAGTCAAGAAGAAAACATGTCTTCAAGAGTAGCAGTGCTAAAGGCAATGCTCTTATATATTCATGAGATAATATTTCCAAATGGTTTCTTATTGGTTCCTCTCTGTTAAGCTTGTTCCCTTGTCCTCTGATTCTTCTGAATGCAGGAATGTCTTTGATTTAAGAAAGGTAACTTGGTTAGACGACATCTAAAGCCTGACTAGATTCTCAAGCCCAATATCGGCCCAACTTTATTTAGGGTTTATATATGTATCTTCAATCGATGTGTCGTGTATACTTTTTCCTTTCCTTTAGCCGCAAGATAGTTCTTCTGATTTGAAACAATGACGACAATGATCTCCGATCTTCCAAGGGATTTGATAGAGGAGATTCTTTCTAGGCTTTCCTGGAAATCTATGAAAGCTGTGAGATTAACTTGCAAAAGTTGGAACAATTTTTCCAAAAGTGAGAGCTTTTCGAAGATGCACATTGGTAAAGCAAAGATGATCGCGATGATGCCTGTACAAGCTTTATCTAATGAGCTGCGTTGTTGACGACGTTGATCCATCTATAGAGCATAAAGGTCAACTTAGTTTCCTTCACAATCAAGTCAGTATATCTCGAATTTCCCACTATATGAGGGTTTAATTTTATGCATCTTGAAAGACGTTACTAGGATTGTGGTTTGGAATCCGTATTTGGGCCAAACAAGGTGGATCAAACTCAGATTTTCTCATTGTTATCATTTTCGAAAAGGATGCGACATGTTCAATTACACTCTCGGATACGAGGTTAAAGAATCTTGTTGTTGCGTCAAAATCTTGAGGTTTGTAGATTATTTTTACAGTAGCACCCGATAATCATTTTTTTGGTATGAAATCTACGATTTTGATTCGGGTTTATGGACAACTCTTGATGTTACTCCACACTGGAGTATATCTTCTTCAACCCAAAGCGTTTCTCTTAAGGGAAACACTTACTGGTGCGCTTATGAAAGGAGCTTAAACGGTCACGAGCATCATATAATATGTTTTGATTTTACAAAAGAGAGGTTTGGACCGCTTCTGCCTCTGCCGTCTAGCATTACGGATCATGAATATAAAATCGTAACTTTATCGTGTGTTAAAGAAGAGAAGATTGCAGCTTTATTTTGGCACAAGGCATCATATGATACTGAGATTGAGATATGGATTACAACTAAGATTGAAGCCGAAATGGTGTCGTGGAGCAAGTTCTTGAGATTTAATACATGTTTTTTTCTTGATACGGGACTTAAGATAGTTTTTCCAACTACTTTCTTCATTGATGAAGAGAAGAAAGTCTTCATGGGTGTTGGTAGAGAGAATGGCTCTGTTAGAGGTGATTGGGACTATGACTCTGGATATCCCAAAACATTTATTAACATCATTGGAGAGGCTGGATACTTAAAAATATTGGATCCCGGATTACCTAACCAAAACCGTTGGCCACGTGTGTGCTCTTATGTTCCAAGTTTGATCCCAATCAAGAAACTTTCACGTGTGGGCAAAAATATAGAACAAAGTAGTTTAGAAAAGCAACGATTTGATCAAAACAGTTCGAGACTTGCCGCAATTGAAAAGCTACGATCTGGAGGCAATGTATACGAGGCGCAAAAGGGGGTATTTAGACGCGTACGCAAAATTGAGCTTGGTTGCTAAGTTAAAAGTAATTTTTTGTGCTCTTGTATCTTAGATACTTTATTGGAAGTGAGGCTTGTGGTGATTACATTAGTGATCGATCTGCAGGAGCAGAACACTAAGAGGGGTCGAGTTTTGGAAACGCTTTGAGATGCTCTTGGAACCATATTGGAATTCTTGCATTGTGATGCCTATCTTAAGTGATAAAGAACCATATGATGTTGTTGGTTCCGGTTGGGTTTCTCTTTTACTTTCTGCTTTGTTTTACTACAACAATATGTCTAGAAGGCGGCAAAAAATGATTAGCCTCAATATACAAAGCCTTATTATATATTCTGTTACAAAACTTCTATTTATTTTCTCATGTACTTTATTTTTTGCATGTATGTCAAGAAATTTGTGACTTCAATCTATTGTGTTGCATCACAAATCTTTTCAAACTCCTGCTTTTCAGATTGGTTACCTTGATTATTGTTAAGAAACTTGGTTTTTAATGGTGCTATATATGATTATTATGATTGAGAGAAGTGAGATAGAAGAAGAAGTTTGTTAATTATTATGAAAGGTTTTAGGTTATAATGAACTTAGAAATAAGAAAACAGAGAACAAAAGCTGTTTAACTTAACTGACTCAAACAAACCTTTTAACAAGAGTAAACCACATTCCTTCTAACCGGAGTCTCAAGCTTAAGGTCAAAGAGATTGACAGATTCAATGAGACGTTTGGAACAGGGGAAATCCAGAGGGGTGTGACTTTGATACTTCAAGACATCAACAAGTCAATGAATTATTGTGCTTTTGCTTTTTTTGAAACTCTGAAGAGGCTTATGGTTAATAGGTTATAGCAATTATTACCCTTGTGGGTCTGCATGAGCAGAACATTGTGAACGGGTTTTGTTTCGGAAATGCTCTTGCAAACATGGAAATTCTTGCGCTTTGATGCCATACTAACGTAATAAAGAACCATATTCTGTTGCTACATTATGTTGTGTTTTGTAAATTAAGTTTTTTTGGGGTTGTGAAGGATTGAACTTGTTACTTATCCAAACAAAGAACAAAACTTTTGTTTTATATGATAAAGCTCATATGTATTTAAATATTTATCAATCGATTTGGTTTTAACAAATCTAATTTAATTTTTAATTGTATAACCGAAAGGGTACGAAGACATCTCGAATCCAATAAGAACAAGTCAAACGTTAAGAAAAAAAAAAAAGATAGACATGCTTGACATGGTCTTTTGGAGTTCATAGTTCTCCTTTTAAGATCTTTCTGCTACAACTTTAGAAGACGTTGATTTCACGAAAGGTATGATTCTCCTTCTCTCTTTCTTATACACTTTTTTTTTTTTAATGCTCTTTTGAAAACATTTCGTGAAATCATTTTTATTTTTATTTTTCTTGGAGTTTCAGGTTAAGACATGTCTTATATTCCTCCACATAAGCGACATTTGAATCCGGCTAGACCAGCCCCTGTTCCAGATTCTCTTATTCCCACATTCAAGAAAAACCTCGAATTCAAGAGTAAAAATGATAAACGCAACAATATTATCTATTCAGGAGATTCCATTTCCAAATGGTTTCTTGTTGGTTCTATAATCATTCTTTCCTATAAAATAGGTGCAAGCTTTAAGCAGAATTTTTTGTGTCTTAACGCATCATCTGGAATTTGGTTATATGTTTGACAAAATGAATATTATTGCAAAACATAGTGTCTTTTAAATGTTAGTGTTATGATCTCTCTAGCCAAAAGAAAATGCATTGTGTATTTTTTAATGTGGTTTTTAATATGTTTATATTCAGTGAACATGGATATGGGAGAGAAAGAAGAAGAGAGAACTCAGTGGCAGTTAGTAGCAGAAAAGGTCGAGAAGGATCTCGACATGAGACTGATGCTAGCCGCTAAGAGGAAAATAACGTATCTCAGCGTGAGTTAGAATTTTGATATAGATATCTTATGGATAAGTAGTTATGCTCTTCTTGGACTTAGGTTGGTTGATCTTTCTTTGATGGGCAGGAGAAAGAGATAGGTGACATTAAAGCGCTATTGGAATCAGCGACTGTTGATCCAAATGTAAAAGGCGGTTTAAAGTGGCCGTTTGGTAAAGCTTTAACTAAAGATGGATACAGAGAATTTGAAGTTTGTCACGTTAGAGCTACTATCTACAAAAACAAAACTCTAAGGCTTAGGGTTAGAGAGACTGATAGATTCAATGAGAGGAGTGGAACAGGGGAAATCAAGAGGGAGGTGAGTCTGACGCTTAAAGACATCGACACTAAGTTACAGGTAAATTATTGTACTCTTGTACTATCTTAGAAACTTTAATGGAAGTGAGGCTTATAGTGATTACACTTTTTTGGTCTGCAGGAACAGAACATGGAGAGGGCTTGTGTTGTGGAAATGCTTCGAGATGCTCTTGGAACCATATGGGACTTCTTGCATTGCGATGCATATATTACGTAATCCGTAATAATATGATCTTGCTGTTGTTATGGGGTTTTCTTTCTTACCTTGTGCTGTGTTTTGGCAGAATAATGTTTTGTGACAAAAAAAAACAAAAAAACAGAATTGTATATTTGTTCCAGAGAATTTGTTGTTACAAAATCTGAAATAAATACATTTGTAAGTTTTCACTTCTCAAATCCTTGCAAAGTTTTTTATATTTTTCGATACTTTCTCAAGAAATTTGACATTCGGTGCCACGATGAAGATCTTGCCATTTCAATTTCAACAATGTAAAATTAGAAGAAGACAGATAAGCTTCAGGATCTTGTTGGTACATACATAACATCATTGAAAGCCCAACTAGATTCAAAAGCCCACTAGTGGCCCAACTTCATTTAGGTTTTTTTTGTATCTTCAATTGTTACGTGTATACACTTTCCCTTCGCCGCAAGAAATCAGAAGAATAGGAAAAAAAAAAAAAAAAAAAAAGGGTTTTAAAGGTAGAAACAATGACGACAATGATCTCCAATCTTCCAAAGGATTTGATCGAGGAAATTCTTTCGAGGCTTTCCTGGAAATCTATGAAAGCAGTGAGATTAACTTGCAAAAGTTGGAACAATTTATCCAAAAGTGAGATGTACATTGGTAAATCAACAAGAGAAGGACAGTCTATGATGATCGCGATGATGCCTCACAATCTTTATCTAATGAGCTGCGTCGTCGACGTTGATCCATCTATAGAGCATAAAGGTCAACTTAGTTTCCTTCACAATCAAGTTAGCATATCTCGAGTCTTTCACTATGAGGGTTTAATTTTATGCATCTTGAAAGACGTTACTAGGATTGTGGTTTTGAATCCGTATTTGGGCCAAACAAGGTGGATCAAACTCAGATTTTCTCACTGTCAACAAAGATTTGACATGTTCAGTTATGCTCTCGGTTACGAGCATAAAGAATCTTGTCGTAGTTTTAAATTCTTGAGGTTTATAGATTATTTCTACAAAGCACCCGAAACGAAATTTTTTTGGTATGAAATCTACGATTTTGATTCTGGTTCATGGAGTACTCTTGATGTCACTCCACACTGGTTTATATCTTGTTCAAGCGATAGCGTTTCTCTTAAGGGAAATACCTACTGGTGTGCTAGAGAAAGGACCCCTGAAAACGGTCTCCGCGATCACATAATCTGTTTTGATTTTACAAGAGAGAGATTTGGGCCGCTTCTACCTCTGCCGGTTAACGTTACTGATCATGACTATGGTATTGTGACTTTATCTTGTGTTAAAGAAGAGAAGATTGCAGCCTTATTTCAGCACTACGCATCATTTGATTCTGAGTTTGAAATATGGATTACGACTAAGATTGAGGCCGAAATGGTGTCGTGGAGCAAGTTCTTGAGAATGGATACGAAGCCTAAGATATTTTTTCCAGATACTTTCTTCATTGATGAAGAGAAGAAAGTCTTCATGGATGTTGGTAGAGACTATGAAGGTAATTGGGACTATGACTATGAATATCCCAAAACATTAATTTACATCATTGGAGAGGCTGGGTACTTCAAAAAATTGGATCCCGGATTACCTAACCAAAACCGTTGGCCACGTGTGTGCTCTTATGTTCCAAGTTTGGTCCAGATCAAGAAACTTGCACGAGGCAAAAGGATAGAACAAAGTAGTTTAGAAAAGCATCGATTTGATCAAAACATGTTGAGACTTGCTGAAATTGAAATTGGTAGGAAGAGGCGCAAAAGGAGAAAACAGGATGATTAGGGACAAAACTGAGATTGGTTGCTAAGTTACAGGTAATTTTTGGTGTTCCTGTATCTTAGATACTTTATTGGAGGTGAGGCTTATGGTGATTATACTTGTGATCTGCAGGAGCAGAACATTAAGAAGGGTCGAGTTTTGGAAACGCTCTGAGATGCTCTTGGAACCTTATGGGAATTCTTGCATTGTGATGCCTATTTTACGTGATAAAGAAACCATATGATGTTGCTGGTGCTGTTTGGTTTCTCTTTTACTGTGTTTTGAAACAACTCTGTTTTTTGTTACCAGTAATTTCATGAATATGAACTTGGCGTATACATGACTCAGGCATGCTTAAGGTTCATTAATCATTATGATGAAGTTGCAATCGATGTGAAACAAGCAGAACAATATTTGTGATTCCAATAGGTAACAAAACCTCAAATAAATACAGTTGTAAGATTTCTCTTTTGCCTTAAACATGTAGTTTGATCACTTCCTAAAAAATCTGCCAAACAAATAATTTCCCTTCTATTAACTTACATTTGAAGGATCAGATTAGACCTTCCCCTGTTCCAGATTCTCTTATTACAAAATTCAAGAGAAACCTTGACTTCAAGAGTAGCAGTGCTGAAGGCAATGCTATTATAAATTCAGGAGATTATATTTCCAAATGGTTTCTTATTGGTTCAAATTATTACACTATATGAAGAAGCTTGAAGAAGAAGAAACGAAGAAAATGAAAGATAGAGTTAGCTTGATAACAGAGCACTAACAGTGTCGTTAAATCCTCTTGTATAGTTAAGTTTAAGCTCCATTACATTAAAAAGTGTATTGTCCCATCTTCTTTCATGCAAAACATCAAGTCTAAGGCTATACCAAGCCAAAAATTCTGTATAGACGTCGAAAAGGAAATATACATCGTGAAGGTATGGCATTATACTCAGTCTTGATTATACTAGTCCTGATGCAACCATCAGTTGAAAATGTACCATGAAGGAAGTGGACGGTTCAGAATGTAAAAGGCAAGTCTTGAGTACATTTTCTTCTTTAATTTGAGTCATATTCTTCTGAGAATAAAGGCTCTCGAGTAGTAAATAATTTTCTTTCGCATTTTCTGAAACTCTGTTGGAGCAGAACATTAATTGAGAGGTGTTGTGTTTCGGAAATGCTCTTGAAACCATATATATAGCCATGGTGAATGCATACATACAAGCCGTTTAACTTAGCCAACTCTAATGAACTTTCCAACCAGAGTAAACGACATCTAAAGCCTGATTAGATTCTCAAGCCCACGATTGGCCCAACTTTATTTAGGGTTATATTCTTTTAGTTTCTTTCCCTTAGCCGCAAGAAATCATAGGAAATAAAGATTAAAAAAAAAAAAAACATTTCTCGTGATTTGAAACAATGACGACGATGATCTACAATCTTCCAAGGGATTTGATAGAGGATATTATTTCTAGGGTTCCCTTGAAATTCATGAAAGCAGTGAGATTAACTTGCAAAAGTTGGAACGATTTATCCAAAAGTGAGAGCTTTTCGAAGATGCACATTGGTAAATCAACAAGAAAAGGGGAGTCTATGATGATCGCCATGATGCCTCATAATCTTTATCTAATGAGTGGGGTCGTCGACGATGTTGATCCATCTATAGAGCATAAAGGTCAACTTATTAGTTTCCTTCACAATCAAGTTAGCATATCTCGAGTCTTTCACTATGAGGGTTTAATTTTATGCATCTTGAAAGACGTTACTAGGATTGTGGTTTGGAATCCCTATTTAGGGCAAACAAGGTGGATCAACCTCAGATTTTCTCACCGTCCACATAGATGGGACTGGTTCAATTATGCTCTCGGATACGAGGATAAAGAATCTCGTCGTGGCATTAAATTGTTGAGGTTCTTAGATTATTTTCACAAAGCACCCGAAAAACAATTTTTTTGGTATGAAATCTACGATTTTGACTCAGGGTTATGGACAACTCTTGATGTCATTCCACACTGGGGTATATATTGTTCAAGCCATAGCGTTTCTCTCAAGGGAAACACTTACTGGTCTGCGACAGAAAGAAGCTCAGAAGGTCGAAAAAATCACATAATTTGTTTTGATTTTACAAGAGAGAGAGATTTGGGCCGCTTCTGCCTCTGCCGTCTAGCTTTACGGATCGTAATTATGTATATGCGTCTTTATCTTCTCTTCTTTAAGAGAAGATTGCAGCTTTATTTCACCACCATGATAAATATGATACTGAGTTTGAGATATGGATTACAACTAAGATTGAGGTCGAAATGGTGACGTGGAGCAAGTTCTTGAGAATGGATACGGGACCTAAGATAGGTTTTCCAGATACTTTCTTCATTGATGAAGAGAAGAAAGTCTTCATGGATTGTGGTACACACTATGACTCTGACGATCATTACAGAAGATTTATTGACATAATTGGAGAGGCTGGATACCTAAGAAAATTGGATCCTGGAGTACCTGCAGACAAAAATTGTAGGCCTGATGTGTGCTCTTATGTTCCAAGTTTGAGCCAAATCAAAAAACCTGCACGAGGCAAAAGGATAGAACAAAGCAGTTTAGAAAAGCGTCTATTTGATCAAAACATGTTGAGACTTGCTGCAGTTGAAAAGATAATGGAGACGCAATATGGATATTGGTAGGAGGAGGTGCAAAAGGAGAAAACGAGATGATGCAGTAGATGGAAGGCCTTGAAGCTTGCCGTGGAAGATGACGTGTATAAAAAGATAGCTCTAACGATGATTCCAAAGTGTTCTTGATTCCAATCCCAGCAGCAACGATGCTGGTGCAAAAGAGTTTTTGGGAAATGAAGCCACTGAAATTCAGAATTCTGCTCTAAAAAGCAGATTGGTAAGGATAAGAGAGATATTGGATTAGTCAACTTGCGAGTTGTTTCGGATGCTTTCCAAGGAAATAAGCTGGTCCAGATTAATTTTTCTTCAAAGTAGGTCCTTTTTGTTTCTCTGAGATTTTAATGAAACTGAGTTGGTAATGCAAAATGTTTACCATTAGAATTGTCATTTTGTTCTTTGCTCTAAATAGTCTAGTTGGAATTTGTGTACTTTTGAATCAACTGATGCAAGTTGATATGATGGAATGGAGACAAAGTTAGAATTTGTTACTATTTTCTTATTGAGACATATAGGTATTAAATTTTGTGAAAGGGTTTGTGTTGATCTCTGTTTCTGTCTACCACCAGACATTTGATGTTTCGCAAAACCCCAAACATTAGGCCCTTTTTCTTTTGCTTTTGTCAGAAGATTTTGCTGAGACGTTTTTTCTTATACAATCAACTTTCAAGTTTCAAAGCCTAATTTATTATTGTTACAAAACAATATAACAAAGAAATCTATTTCTTGGCATGTATTTCAAGAAATTTGTAACAGGATCCGTTTTTCAACCACTTGTGTTGCTTCACAAATCTTTTCATGATCCGGATTGGTTAACCTAGTTTTTCAAGCTACTATATAGATTACTACGATGGTGGAAAAATGAGAGAGAAGAAGAAGATTTTTTTTTTATAAAAGGTTTTAGTTCATTGGACTTAGAAATGAGAAAACAGAGTAAGCTGTTTAAATCAACCAACTCTAATAAACTTCTCTGAGATTTCAAGGTGATGAGAACAGATGCAATGTTCTCAAGCTGAGAGGTTTTAGTAACGAATATGTAAGCTTACTGTAAAGTTTCACAGGTTTCACAGGTGTGAATCTTCTTAGCTCTTTCATTGCATATTTCTGCTTGAGATTTTTGTTCCGTTTGGTTCAAAACAGAAAGATCTTGCCATTTCAGTTGAACAGCATAAAATTAGAAAACATAACATTATTAAAAGCCTAACTAGATTCTGAAGCCCACGATTGGCCCAGCTTCATTTAGGGTTTTTGTGTATCTTCAATTCGTGTGTGATACTGTGATGTTGGTATACTCTCATAAACCTTTGCCGCATGATATCAGAGAAAGAAAAAACAAAACCATTGTTGCAATTTGAAGCTATGACGACGATGATCTCTAATCTTCCAACGGTTTTGATAGAGGAGATTTTAATTAGGGTTCCTTTGAAATCTTTGAGAGCAGTGAGATTAACTTGCAAAATTTGGAACACTCTATCCAATAGTAGGAGCTTTCTGAAGTTGTACATTGGTAAACCAGCAACAGCAACAAGAGAAGAGGATTCTATGATGGTCGCGATGATGAATTTTGATCTTTATTCAATGAGGGTCGTAGTTGACGACGTTGATCCATCTATAGCGTTTAAACGTAAACCTAGTTTCCTTGAAGAACAAGTCAAGGTATCTCAAGTCTTTCACTGTGAGGGTTTATTGCTATGCATCTTCAAAGACAATACTAAGGTTGTGGTTTGGAATCCGTATTGCGGGGAAACAAGGTGGATCGAACCAAGATTTTCTCATCGTCCAAGGGGGTGGGACAGGTTCAGTTATGCTCTAGGATACAAGGATAAGGAATCTTGTGATAGCTTTAAATTCTTGAGGTTCATAGATTATTTCTGCTTTGCACCCGAAAATCAATTTTTTTGGTATGAAATCTATGATTTTGACTCTGATTCATGGACAACTCTTGATGTCACTCCAAACTGGTGTATAATGTTTGCTAACCTTGGTATTACTCTCAAAGGAAACACTTACTGGTGTGCTGGGGAAAGGAACTCAGAAGATGATATTGCCGATCACATAATCTGTTTTGATTTTACAAGCGAGAGATTTGGACCGCTTTTACCTCTGCCGACTAGCGTCAGGGATCATGAGTATGAATATGTGACTTTATCTTGTGTTAGGGAAGAGAAGCTTGCAGCTTTATTTCAGCACAACGAATCAAATCCGTATGAGCTTGAGATATGGATTACAACTGAGATTAATGCCGAAATGGTGTCGTGGAGCAAGTTCTTGATGATGGATACCGGACCTAGGATAGAGGTTCCACTTATATGGGAAGGTTTCTTCATTGACGAGGAGAAGAGAAACGCCATGGGTTTTGACGAAGAGTTCAGTCGTAAAACATTTATCATCATTGGAGAGGCTGGATACGTAAGAAAATTGGATATTGGAGTAGACATAGATTGTCGACCAAAAGTGTGCTCTTATGTTCCAAGTTTGGTCCAAATCAAGAAACCTGCAGGAGGAAAAAGGAAAAGACAAAGCAGCTTAGAAACGGGTCTATTTGAGCAAAACATGTTGAGACTTGAAGCATTTGAAAAGCTAAAATTAGTCTAGAAACAATATGCAGGAGGAGTTAGGAGTGAAAGGGATCGATGATTAGTCTCAATTTACAAAGTCTAATTTATTATGTTAAACTTCTATTTATTTTCTCATTTACTTTATTTTTGGCATGTACGTCAATGGATTTGGAACTAGAATCTGCTATCAACTCCTTGTGTTGCTTCACAAATCTTTTCAATTTCTAGATTTGCGGATTGGTTATCTTGATTACTGTAAGAAGCCTGGTTTTTGTTTTTTTAGTTTATTGAACATAGACTGAGAAAACAAACAAAGAGTAACAAGCTGTTGTAGCTTAACCGATTTAACCATAGTAAACCACATCTAAACCGGATATGATAACCAATATAAATGTAAAATACTTCATCCAGCATGATGCAAGGACCAAACCATTCGGTCTAGTATATATATATATATTTTGGAGCATGTATAATATTAATCTTTTTTTATGATTTTGTATATAAGAATTTTAACAATTAGCATTGTTTTCAAAATTAAAAATACAAATGCTCATCACATACTGTATTACCTTTTATCATTGGGAATGGATTTATACTCGTTAACAATCCAATTTCTAATTTAAAAATGAATAATTTTTCGAATTTGTTTTAATCAACAATTTTTAGAAAAATATATTTCAAATTCTACATCATTTTTTCAAATCAATTAAAAACACAAATAAATAAACTATTTTTAGTCATTTCCATTCAAGAGAATTGAGCAGAAAATAATCAACGTAACTATTTTAAAACATTAACTAAAATACACAAATTAATAAACCACCTTTAGTCTTTAATAAAATTGGTTCCCTATATGAAATGGAGTACACATATCTAAAGTTATAAGAAAATTATTTAAAAGATCCTTTTCATCTTTTATAAGTAGCACCAATCAAAAATTACGTGTCACTCAATTTTAGGATAAAATGTATCCCAACTTTAAAAACTTTTATTATACATTTTTCTTAGATAATTCTTATCCAGCACGTAATCGTATAGATATAGTATTAAAATCCAATCTCTTCTTTTTCCCTTGTTTTAGTATTCAACAAATCCAATCTGTTCAACAATATAAACATCATTAAAAAGGGAATTATCCACGTAAAAAAATCATTAGTCTTTAATAGTTTTAACGTTGACTACACAATACAAACGCGTGGTTTCACGCACTAAAGAAAGAGCGTGTAGCAGGAGAATTTGCCGTCCTTACAAACTGAGAAAAACAAGAAAAAGAACAGATCGATCAGAATAAATAGAAAAAAAAAAGAAAAGATTTTTTCCTTTTAAATTAATATTTCTTTCTTCTTCCTCTGGAGATAGAAAAGGAAAGAAACAATAACAAAAAGGCCTTAAAAAGCAAAGATTCTCGCTGACTTCGTCTCTCTCTCGCTGGCGAAGAAGATTTTCTAGGGTTTTTGTTTAATTTTCTCGAGCCGGAAAAATTATTATTAATCGTGTTGAGCTTCTTTAATCGGTGAAGATTATGGCGTCGTCTTCAGCTTCGGCGACGGTGGCTGTTGATAAAGCAACCAGCGATCTTTTGTTAGGTCCTGATTGGACTACGAACATGGAAATCTGCGATTCTGTCAATTCTCTTCACTGGTAAGTTTTTTGTTCGATTTGGTGTGGGAATTCTTGTTGAATTCGTTTGGAATTGTTGATTGTTCGCTATAATTGGATTTATCTTGGATTGGTTGATGTTCTTATGAGGGAGTGATTTCGTGAAAATTTTGAAAAAAGGTTACAATTACATGCATAATTTGGGATTTGGTGTTGGTAATCTGATTAATTCTTGATTGGAGTAGGAACATCTTACATGTTTACATCTTTGTTAATGGTTTGTGCCTATTGATTTGCTCAGGCAGGCGAAAGATGTCGTTAAATCTGTGAAAAAGAGGCTGCAACATAAGAGCCCGAGAGTTCAACTACTTGCTCTTACGGTATGATGTTTCTACTGAAATTTGGGAGTTGGGACCTTGTTCTTTGGCCAATTATTCTGTGCGTAGTTTCGACTCTCCTTAACTCTCTACGTATTCTTATGTGCTAGCTTTTGGAGACGTTAGTAAAGAACTGTGGAGATTATTTGCACCATCAAGTTGCAGAGAAAAACTTATTGGGGGAAATGGTCAAAATTGTGAAAAAGAAGGTAGTTTTTGTTCAGGGTTCTATTTATGTGTTTTCATACTTGTGATTGTTCATATTGCTGATGATATTGGGGTTTATAGGCGGATATGCAAGTAAGAGATAAAATATTGGTCATGCTGGACTCTTGGCAGCAAGCTTTTGGGGGTCCTGAGGGAAAATATCCGCAATATTATTGGGCATACGATGAGTTAAGGGTGAGCAACATTTTCGGTCACCTTTGGTGGACTTACTTGTGATATTTACTTTTCGGTCATAGTTGTTCTAAATTGAAGTACTGTATATTCAGATCTCGATATATATGGCATTTTACTGAGATGCTCATTTGCATGGTATTCTTATTCTCAAGGTTTCTGTTACATGTTGCAGCGTTCTGGAGTTGAATTCCCCCGGCGTTCACCTGATGCGTCCCCTATAATAACACCACCAGTAAGTCATCCACCGTTAAGACAGCCTCAGGGGGGCTATGGAGTACCTCCAGGTGGCTATGGAGTACCTCAAGCTGGCTATGGAGTACCTCAAGCTGGCTATGGAGTACATCAAGCGGGTTATGGAGTACCTCAAGCGGGTTATGGAATACCTCAAGCTGGCTATGGAGTACCTCAAGCGGGTTATGGAATACCTCAAGTGGGTTATGGAATGCCCAGCGGTTCTTCGAGAAGGCTTGATGAAGCAATGGCAACTGAGGTTGAGGGCTTAAGGTAAGTGGATTTGCTAGTTCAATATGCTGTCGATGTGGACTGACAGTTTTAGATTCGTTCAAAATTTTCCACTATTTCAAAATTCTTTTCTTGGTTAAATTGTAGCTTGTCAAGTCTCGAGTCCATGAGGGACGTGATGGATCTCTTGAGCGACATGCTACAAGCCGTGGATCCCAGTGACCGTGCGGTATTGAAATCTATTATACAGCTATATTGCAGGTTTGGAATGAAATCAATTGCTTTACCCATGGTTTTCCTGTTATGTAGGCTGTGAAAGATGAAGTCATTGTTGACTTGGTCGAGCGTTGTCGTTCCAATCAGAAAAAACTGATGCAGATGCTAACCTCCACTGGGTTAGTCCTCTATTTTTAGGATCTCTGTATTTAAATTTGTTAGAATGTGTAATGATATTGTTGACCTGAGAGGTTCCATCGTTGTGCTAAACAGTCTTTTGTTTGTGTGGCAGGGATGATGAACTTTTAGGCCGAGGACTCGATCTAAATGACAGTCTTCAAATTCTGCTAGCTAAGCATGATGCAATAGCTTCTGGTTCTCCTCTGCCTGTTCAGGCTTCTGGTTCTCCTCTGTCAGTTCAGGCTTCAAAACCTGCTGATTCGAGCCCCAAATCTTCTGAAGCTAAAGATTCTAGTTCCATAGCTGGTTCTAGTTCCCCAATACCAGCCACTGTTTCTACAGGGAAAAGCCCAATTGATGAGGAGTACGAAGATGAGGAAGATGAGTTTGCGCAATTAGCTCGAAGGTCTGTCTTACGAATTACAATTGGATTCAGGAACTTTGCATATCATAAACTTAGTATTTGACATATCATTCTGTATTGTTTCAGGCATTCCAAACCGCCAGCATCTGTGATTACAGACCCTACCAGTTCAGAGTCTCATAATGCTGCAAGCAATGCTCTTGCTCTTGCTCTGCCTGACCCGCCTCCTCCAGTGAACACCACAAAGGAACAAGATATGATTGACCTATTGAGTATCACACTGTCTAAACCATCAACTCCACCGCCTCCATCCTCTCAGCCTTCTCCTCCTCCTCCCGCTGTCTCAGATCAAAACACCCATATCTATCCACAGCCTCCGCCACGGTTTGATAGCTATGTCGCTCCTTGGGCACAGCAACAGCAACCGCAGCCGCAACAGCCTCAAGCACAGCAGGGCTATTCTCAATATCAACAACAACAGGGCTATTCTCAACTGCAACAGCCTCAACCACAGCAGAGCTATTCTCAATCGCAACCGCAAGCACAGGTCCAGATACAACCGTCAACTCGACCTCAGAACCCGTATGAATATCCGCCTCCGCCATGGGCTTCAACATCAGCAAATGCATACTATACTCCACGGGCTAATGCAAGTGCGTCATACACAGACACATCTGCCCTAGCCGGAAGATCACTGCAGCAATCCAACTCATTCCCCACAAGAGCTGGAGATCCCCAGGCTACTTCAACTGCTAGCAACCCAGGTGTATCTGTAGGACAGAAGCCGTTTGTTCCATCATACAGATTGTTTGAAGATCTGGATGTGTTTGGGAGCGCAGACGGGAAGAATAAGCCGACTAACAGTAGTAATGGTTCTCAAAGCTTGTCCGGGTCTCAGACGCAGCAGAGTATGATAGGAGGAAGGAAAATGATTTAACAATAGTGTGAGTGCTTCGTATTTTCCCATTGTGAATATAATGGTGTACATTTTATCCCCTTGTTTGATTTTAGGATTTGGTATGACATACTGAAACGCTTTGATGAGACTAGGAGATATTTTTTTCTTTCTAATTTGCTTCGTCTTCTGTTTTCGTACTTTTTTGTGGAGTTGTGTAAACTATTATTGGTTTGGGGAGGAAGTTATAACAGTTGTGAACAACCATTCATGGGAATTGGGAGTGGGAAATGGAACATTGGTCTGTTTAATAAGTCTTAGCCAGTACCGACAGGTCAGTCTCCAACAGTCGATGCCTTGATCGGAAACATCCACAACTAATTACTTGGTACTATGGGATCATTACACTTTCCAAGCAAGAGAGGAATATTTTAGCATGAAATGTTGCTCCAAAAAAAAAAAGATCTCGAAAGGCAATATATTGGACTTCTTTGGGTCCTTTAACTCAAAACTCCCAAACTTTTAATCGGCTATGGAAACTAAAGGCTCAGATGTTTCTGTGTCACATCAAGATTCAGCATTCATTGTATGCAGCATCAGATTCAATCTTTGCACAAACGAATTCAAGTTGTTTAAGATACAACATATTTTGCAGCCACGCTCGTACTTATTTGAACAACATCTAGATATTGCATCCAAATGAAAAGAAAAACCGAACAAACCCGAAGACGCTGGACTGGCAACACGATTTAGAAATGATGAAGTGTGATGCTAAGATGCGATTTAGATATTTGTAATGATTGACTTTATTTTGACACAAGAAAAGTTGTGAACATTAAGAAAACACAAGTGATTGAGAA